TGGCTTTATTTCAAAGGAATGTTAAAAATTTAAAAATTTGAAAGTAAAAAAAGATGATCAACGATTATGATTAATATTCCCTTTTATTATATTCCCGTTGTGTAATATTCTCCTTATTTAGTACCTTTCTCTGAATGTAATACTTCCAGATACTATTCAAAATTAAGCTTAGATTTGCTTGAATAGTACCTGGTACTAATGTCAGCGCTATACGGTAATAAGCGACAACACTTAGAAATTACTTTCAATTATACACTGCTAATCAAAGTGTATCCAAATCACCCTCAAAAGTAGCTACTGAAACGTTGGATGGGCTTGATAAGATATGTTTATAATGCAGTTGTTTACTGGAATCGATACTGCTATTTATATACTAAGAATTCACATATTGGTTCATCACAACAAATTTGGGTAAAACCTTAACCCATTAAAGATAAATTTAAACTTTATGCAGATGTTCATGTAGGAAAAGACGTTAATAAACATAAGAACAAGAAACTTCAAAAATCATGTGTATGAGGTGAACGCAAATTCGTATGGACTATTGTATGTATTGGAATGCTACTTCAAGATACACATGAAAAAGCACCTACAAATATTATTGATGAGGCAATTGATGAAGCATCGACTGCTAGGTATGATTATTATTTTTTGATTTTTTTTGTTTAAAATTTTTATTTATTTTTTGATTTTTTTTTGATTTTTTAATTAATTTAGGGATAAGATAATTAACCATAATATAGGATCAAACACGAATCAATGAGATCCATCTTTATTATTTCGATTTCGAAAAGATTTATAACAAACAATAACAATTCGGTCATAAAATTTTTCAAAATCCATATGGAACCGTTTTTATGTTACCTATCTTCACAATCTATCAATGCTTTCCACACATCGTCATAAGCCTGTTGTCACTCTGAATTATAATAAACGTGATTTGTGACCTCTTCATTTTGAAAAAAAAAGATGTAATAATAAGTGGCCTATTTCTCACAAGATAACATCTGATTATAAAATCATATATATTCGTAAAACTAATGAATGGAAATTTTTATGGGTTTATGAGATGCAAAAACAGCTCTGCGAAACCCAAGCGGATGGTTCTGTTCATGCAGTCTCCATTGATCCTAGTGTTCACATACCCTTCACATGATACTCTCCTACTAAAGGTGTAGGTAAAATTGGCCAATATGACATTAGACGAATTATTCGTTTATGCAAATATATGGATAATCTTCATTCTATAAGAGACAAGCTGGCTTCCTCTAATTCAAAACGTAAAATAAAAAGGCCTTACGACTTGATAATGCAATTTCTCGGATGATATGAAAAATCAAACATCTGCAAAGTGAAATCCATAAAAAGAGTGTTACATTTTTTTACTCGCAAATTTGATGCCATTATCATTCCTCCTTTTGAGGTATCAAAATATGATAAATTGAAAAACAAGAAATATAATGTGAAAAACTGTTCATAAAATGCTCTTTTGGACTCACTATCAATTTCGCCAACGTCTGATAGCTAAAGCTAAAGAATTAGGGGTTCATGTTATTATCCAAAATGAAGCCTATACTTCAAAAACTTGCAGCTGGTGTGGGAGTATTCAAAAAATAGAAGGATCTGAGATGTACAAGTGCTGAAGTTGTAGAGCTGTAATGGATCGAGATGAAAATGGTGCTCAGAGAATTTTTCTCCGGGCTTTGCTTGATGGAGCCTTGATTCTCTCTGGAGATCATGCAGGAAATAATAGTAATATTTAGTATTATCTATTATTGATGTATTACAATCCATCTGGTAATATTCATTAAAATATTTAATAAAATTAAAAATAAAAAAATATATTAACTAATAATGAAAAAAAATTAATGTTAATAGAAGATAAATTTTTAAATTTGAAAAAAAATTAATTTTTATTTATAAACTAATAATTTTTTGAAATATTTAAAATTTTCCACGCGTTGTTTCAAATGAAATTTCCAGCGATACTTAATTAAATATATTTTTCACTTTAAAGACTTCAATTTCCTCTGGAATAAATTTAGTTTTCGTTGAATTTGTAAAATTTACATCATAAAAGCCAGAGTTTTTAATTAAATAAACATATTGACCATTCATATAAAACGTATTTCCAAAATTAAATCTATTTGTATTATCATATGTATAATCACATTCATCATCTTCCGTGTCGTATCTCCTTATTGCCTTCGAATAGTCGTATGACCAAACTGTCCTTTTGCATTTTTCCCTGTCGGTAGGTTATTTCAAATGACATACATTCATATTTGTAATATCCTTGTCATTTGCAAAAGAAAATATAAAACTTTCACTTGCAAAACATTTACTTCCATTACGAAAACCGAGTGGATTATATCCTCCATAAATTTTTTCCGAAGATTTTTGTTTGACTAAAACTATAAATGGATCTTGAACATTACACATTTTACCAAATGATTGATCATTGAGTCCATCTCGACTACTACGATAAGTTCGAATTTATATCTTTTATCAAATATAGGGTTTTTCCTTTTTTTTTTCGATCTAACTAACGATTGTATCAGCGAGCTTTTGTTTGATGAGATTTGATTTAATTTCTTTGCCAGAACGTGATAGTAAGGCTGTCATTTTTGGTAAAGTTTGTTTCATGTAAAATTCCATAGCTTCTTCGAAAATTTGATGAGGAAGAACAGATTTATAAGGACGGTCTTTATCAAAAAAATCCACAGAGCTGATATCTAAAAATCGAATAAGAGGAATATATTGCTCTAAGGTTTGTTTCAACGCTTCGTAACATTTGTCATCCCACTTAGCTCTATCGCTATTCGAACTTCCCAAACAAGGAGTTTGACTGACGCCCATTTAATTAAATGATCCCAAACAACAGATTCTTCAATCTGTAAGTCGTCACGTTTAAGCAAGCTATGAAGAATATCTTTTCAAGTGATGGAAATTCATTTGAAGTAAAAAATGGTAAAGGATCTGTGCAGATGGAATCAAGGCAGTAATCTTGAAGTTTCTTGCAGCTAGCAAGTTTAAAACCGTGTGAAGAACAAGAACGAGATTTTAGTTTAACCATAAATTTTTTTTTCCAATTAAATAATTTTGAACATGTTTAAACAATTCATCGAGAAGCAGCTCATCAGAAGCGATTAAGAGTCCAAGGATATCTTCACCTGAATTTTTGGTTAAATTCACTTCGCCAATATAAATATACCTATTTTTAGGGTTGGAAAATTAATTATATCGAAATTTAAAAAAAAAAAAAAAATAATAAATTTCTTTGATTAGAAATTTACATACTTGAGGATGATCTCAAAATGGTAGGATGAATATTTGGTTTTATGATCTCAATCACATTATTATTCATTGTATTATTCCAATTGGTCAAAAGTGTACTTTTGAAATAAGGTGAACAAGTTCTCAGGATATTTGAATGTGCATGAAACTCTTGATTCTCACTAACTTTAATAATAATATTATAATCCTCTGCAACTTTTAACATTAATGAGAGATCTTGTGAAAGACCGGTATGGAATTTTGAAACCATTTGAAAAAAAGAAAGGAAAAAAAAATCCGAAATATACAAGTTAAATGAAAAGTTCTAAGAATTTTTATTACAATTTGCTGATATATATAATTAAAAAATTTAGAATGATCTGATTTAAACGTAAAGTCTGTTATTTTCTTTATTGACGTCAAGATGACAAAAAAATTTCATAAATTAATTTATTTACAGGGGGTGAAATAAATATTGAATAATTTTTATTTGATGTTTATTTATATTTATTTGCTACAGTAAATTCGTAT